AAGATTATGTGAGAACTGACAACACTTTCGTTTTAGTTGAATTGTTTGTAAAAGTTCTGTAATTAAATTAAATAATATATTATGTTACATAATTTATGGATTTTGTATAGGTACGTTAAGTAGGTAAATTTTGCTTCTATTATTTTTTAATAATATAGTTGTTCATAGCAATCATGTTAAATACCATTAAAGTATATTACCTTGATGATGTTTAGTTCTTTTCATGCTTATAAAATTTATGAGATTGCATAAATTTATCAAATTCTTAATACTGTGTAGGAATTTTCTCAGGTACCCACAGAAAAAAAATTATTCATAGTTTACTTTTCTGATCGAAAAATACAAAAATTTTACTATTAGGTACTTTTCAACGATATTTTTATCACCCACTTAATTAAAATAATTAAAAAACATAACATAACAAAAATATTTTTTTATTAAATATTAACTATTCCAAGGAGCTAATTAGATTCTCAAATGACAATAACTACCTATCAATGGCATTCCCACATTTAGATGCAAATTGTTAATTATGTTTCAACATAATTATAATCGACGGACGTTGCTAACTATCAATTTGTTTTTAATTATTTTCTTATGCGCAAAACATTTTTTGCTATGCATGGATTGTGTAAGCAATTGTTAAAGCTTTGTGTATAAACTGTCAAAAATATGAGTTGTTACTATTGTATATTTACTTTAAGTTTTTTTGGTTATAAATTAGCTTCATTCAAAAATCTTCGGCCAACAAATCTTGACTATGTTCTGTGCATACAACCATTAGTTATATGTAGACAATTAACGCAGAACTACACAAAACTTTTTGCAATAAACTAAAACATAAATATTAATTAGTTATTTAAAAATATGCGACAATCAAGAATAACAACTATATTTTTTAATCCAGTTTTAAATAATATACCTAGACATAAAATTTATATCAACGTGTTTTGCCATTTAATAATTATTAAAAATAAAAATATTAATATTTATCCATACTACTGTAACAGTTACAACAACCTTTTTAATTGGATTTTTTTTAACCTTACCTCAAAAAAATTCAAATATACCTAATTAGTATTTTGATACATAGAAGGTTAAAATTATTCCGCAACATTTCGGCAAATTTCATATAATTATTTATTACTATTAATATTATTATATTTAATTTTTACAGAACGTTCAATTATTGAATAATTAAATAATTTTAATGTATTTTCATTATTGAACTTCAATAATGAAAATACATTAAAATTACATAGGAAGATGGGTTCCATCTATCGCATTTAGATCGAAATCAGTGTAGGTAACTGTAAAATAAACTCATGCACATAACCTACAAAGCATTAATTGAGAAAGTCTTTACTAAACGGTAAAATACCAAAAAAGGGTATTATATATAAATATTAGGGTGGCCCAAAAAAAAGAATATTTTTTTTCTTCTCGTCTCTTGTAAAAATATGTTAGTTTATCATGCTGTAAGAGCCCTTTCAAAATATCAGCTCGATTAAAAATTTTGTAGGGGTCGCTCAAGATTTTTAAAAATGTTCAAAATCGTCAAAAATTGAATTTTTGTTTTATTTTAATTCTTTTTCTCGTCTCGATGTTATTTTTTAGGTTGAAAATAATAAAAATTCTGTTTTTAAAAATTACCAAAATCGTCAAAAATTGGATTTTTTTTTTATTTTAATTTTTTTTCTCGTTTCGATATTATTTTTTAATTTAAAAATATTAATGATTCTGAAAATTTCAAATCAATATTTTTATTTCTAAAGGTCGCTAAAAGTTCGTTGATATTTATATTCAGAGGTCGCTCAAAAATATTCAAAATACTCTACTTTGAAAGTTAAAATAATCTTGAGCGACCTTTAGAAATTAAAAATTCGATTTGAAATTTTCAGAATCATTAATATTTTTAAATTAAAAAATAATATCGAAACGAGAAAAAAAATTAAAATAAAAAAAAAATCCAATTTTTGACGATTTTGGTAATTTTTAAAAATCTTGAGCGACCCCTAAAAATTTTTTAATGGTGCTGATCTTTTGACAGGGCTCTTAAAACATGGCAAACCAACATATTTTCACAAGAGACGAGAAGAAAAAAAATATTCTTTTTTTTTGAGCCACCCTAATAAATATATAAAAAAAATTATTTTGCCATAAATTCGTAAATATAGTTTGTCTTAATTAATTATAATCATTAATTAATTATTAACTGCGTCAAAAAGTAAAAACCTTGTAAATTAATTTCAAGACTAAAATGCTTGGGCTATCGGATATAATATAAGCGCTTTCTTCGTCTGTTAGATAATGTACTATTTTATGCAATTTTGCGACAGTCCTCTACGGTTTTAGGACATTTTAGAGCAATCCAAGTTTTTAGGTCAATTCTAATGTCTACATTACATCTACCATTTACCATGGCGCTTTAACGTAGTCATACTGGCTCCAGACTCAGCCAGAAGAGCTGCCGATTTTTCCAAATGTGTTTTTTCCAACTGGCTGTAGCTACACTCAGGGCCGGGCCTAAGGGGGGTGTAGGGGGGGGAGTCACCCCCCCAAAGTCTTGGCAGTTGGTTCCAAATCCAAACACGGTTGCACGGTTGGCAAAATCTTTAGTATTTGGGTCGGTTGGTTGGGTATACCTACCCTACCAACCAACCCATCACAATAAATAAAATTAAATATAATTTTTAAACTATACCTACATATTACAAAATTATAATTTTCTATTTAATAACCTCCTATAATCGTTACCGTCAAGAAAATTGTATTGGTCAACCCTATTTTTATTAAAGGACATTATATTTCACACAAGCGGCATGTACAAAGTCGGCACAGCCTCGCGGCTTTGTCTTTGGCTTTGGCGGCGTTTGACTCTTTTTACGCACCTCAATTTTCGGCGTCTTATTTTTCTAGATTATTATTTAGTTAAAGCTTATCTAAGCTAAGTAAAACTAGTGTCAATAAATAGGAATTTTTTTTTAATATGGAAAAGAAAGCTAGACCGGGCCGAGTTCTAGTAAAATGCTCATTTAACATAATATGTGGATCTGTGTTTAAGAAGGACTAGAAAAAATGCATGAGAAAAATATTCACGGTGGAATTTTGGTTAAAATTAAAATTGTTGCTGTTCCGGATAATCCATTTACATTGGCAGCAAGTCAAAAAAATAGAGAACGAGAATCAATCCCATCGACTTCGAAAGAGCATGCTTATGGTAGGTAAAGACATTCTTTATCTACACTTTTCAGCACTTTACATACATGATAAAACTTCTGAAAATTTTTACTAATTTATCGGTAAAAAATAAGTTGGTTTTTTTATCGTCTCCACCCCCCCAAAAAAGTGTGCCTCGGTACGGCCCTGGCTACACTAGGTACTAGGAGTCTGGAAATTCTAGAGTGCGAAGTTTATAAAATTGTCAATACTCTAGCAAAGGTTTTTTTTTATGCAATTTTGCGACAGTCCTCTACGGTTTTAGGACATTTTAGTGCAATCCAAGTTTTTAGGACAATTCTAATGTCTACATTACATCTACCATTTACCATGGCGCTTTAACGTAGTCATACTGGCTCCAGACTCAGCCAGAAGAGCTGCCGATTTTTCCAAATGTGTTTTTTCCAACTGGCTGTAGCTACACTAGGTACTAGGAGTCTGGAAATTCTAGAGTGCGAAGTTTATAAAATTGTCAATACTCTAGCAAAGGTTTTTTTTTCCAAATGTGTTTTTTCCAACTGGCTGTAGCTACACTAGGTACTAGGAGTCTGGAAATTCTAGAGTGCGAAGTTTATAAAATTGTCAATACTCTAGCAAAGGTTTTTGTAATACAAATATATTTGAATACCTATGCTAGCACACTCTACTGACAACTTTATAAAAAAATTTTATTATACTCTATGACCATTTCGTAATTACGCTTAAGCTTGCCAAAAAAACGGGAGGCTTGCTGTAAAACCGGACTCCCGCCTAAATCGGGAGGGCTGGTAGCCCTATTTGGATTTTATGGTTATTAGAGATGTCAATATTTTTATTTACCAATAAAGTCTTTTTTACCATTACATTTTTGGACCATAAGGAGTTTGGAGAAAATGTATCAGCGAGATTGCCGAAGTGTCCAAGCAGTAGATTCATTAATATGTTCTACACATTTTCTGCCATCCATTTTTAGTAATTTGTCATATTCTCTGCCATAGACAAGTTTTGTGTTGATTTTTTTACAATTTCGTCAATAATTTTAAAACTTTCTAGTTCATGTTTTGTCAATAAATAAGAGACCAATAATACATTCTCCAAAATGCCTGCCCAGATATTTAGCTTTTCAGGATGATGGGTATGATTTTCTCTGATAAGATGAGGATTTTCATTGCTCCAATAATAGCAATTTTGTTTGTTAACATTTAGATAAAAAGTACACTCATCGCTGAAGCAAATGTTTTTTAGTATTTGGATCTTATTTCTTATCTTATTGGTCATTATTTCACAAAACTCTAAACGCATGTCTGCATTACCATCGTCAAGTTGTTGTGTAATATGCATTTTAAATTTGTTATGTTTCAACACCTTTCTAACAGACTCAGGGCAAATCCCTGTTAATTTAGATGCTGAAAGGAGTGATATATATATTGTGGAATCTACACCAAACTGACCAAGAACCTCAATATGCAAACAGTCTGTTTGAAACAGATCCCGTTTGATCAAATTTTGCGACCAGCTCTTGAAATATTTATGAAGCTTTTTTTGCCAGGGTGTAGTTCATTAAATGCCATTGCAGTTGGTAAAGCAAAACAATTTTGTAGACCATAAATGTGTTTTAATAGGTTCTATATTTTACCAACATCAAAAATAAACCTTTACGTATGAACAAAATACATCGAATAACAATAGGAGTGTAATTAAGCATTAAGCCATGGTGTGCCCCACTCAGCGTGTCCAGCACACCTGTACTCACCTACACCGTGCGACGTACCTCGAGCAACCATCAGCGTACCCAGAGAACAAGCAGTCTAGATCGAAACAACGTACGTAGAAGTCAAACGGTCAGTGCAGCAGCGCCAATGTGAACCGGTTGCTAGGTACCAAGTCCACTCTTAGGTGTCAGTGGTGTGTGTTAGTGTCAAAGGGCGCCTAGTGCCAACCAAAAGGTTTTATTATGACGGTGACCTATGGAGGTAGGGTGCCGAACGGCAGCACCTTCGGATGCTTCTGGAAAGTGTTAGGGATGTAAGTCAATTTTTTTTAATGATAATTATAAATTCTCATTTAGATACCTATGTAGGTATAAGTAAAAAAAGCAATACAATATCTGGTGGTTTCAATATTTTCATTATTTAAAATGTTACTTCAAAGATAAAACTACAAATACTTAATTTGTTATATTTTAGACTCTCAATGTTTTGAGAATTCAAGTAAATTTTCTGGATATGAGTACCTTTGATAGCACTATCTTTTTTGCATTAGTCATGGTTGTAACAACTAATACCAATATAATTGTAACAGATAAGTTTAATCGAACAGTAATACAAAAAGTGTTTTAACATTATAAACTGAGTAACAAGAAAAAAGGTTCAAAAGTTTAATAACCATTTTGAAGCTTGTTAAACTTAAAAATCACAATTCAAGTTTTTGGAGGTTTGAATTTTTAATTTGTTTTATCTATTTTGCGTTCATAATGACTTCATTATAACACCGCTTTCGGTGCTTTAATGAGACACTTTATGCCACCCAAAATTTTGATTTTATAGGTTGGTTATACTTTAAACAGCATAATATTTTGCATATTGGTTATAATATTTTTATTTTTCTAGTACTTACGAGACTTTTCTGGCAATAAATTTTGTTTAACCCCAAAGAAAATCCTTTTTTTATTCTTTAACATTAACAGCCGCTTATTGTAAATAAGTAAATTAAAGACGGCATGGCGAATCGATTTTGACATTAACTGTCAAACCAATGACTGTGATACCAACTATCTAAAGTAAAATTCGACCAAATTAAATTTAAGAGATAGAATTAATTTTTGTTATAGAATTTTTGCAAAATAGTTAAAATAGCATAAAGAACTCATATCATAAGACCTTTTATCGCACTCGTCCATTACAAATTATAACTTGTCTGCGTGCGACAAAATGACGTCTTATGACATTAGTACTATTTCGAGTCTCAAATAATAATAGTGGCACCAAATTAAAATTTGGGTGTAAGCCAGTGTAATTAAATAAAATAAAAAAGTATAAATTTAAAAAATATATTTATAGTGGTGATAACGTATATTAAAAAACAAAAGTATAAAATTAAAAAAATATATAGTGGTGATAACGTATATTAAAAAAATAAAAAATAGGGACTAACTTAATCGGTCTCGGATTTTAAAAATAAAAATTGTATACAGAGTGATAAAAAAATATTTTTTAAATTGTTTAGTTTAAAATACAGGTTATTACTTAAGTATGTATAATAAATTTAACAGGCGATTCTTTACCCAATTCAAAAAATGTACGCCTTTTTGTAATTTTTATATTTTTTTCGGATAAAATTCGACTTTTGTCTCATAATTTTTGTTGGTATTTTGCTTAGTTTTCGAAAAAAAAACTCACTAAATTATTTGCATATCTTGTGTGGTCCAGGGATATGAAAACTAAGCAAGATAACAACAAAATTCAAGAGACAAACAAAAGTATTTTTGGTTTAAATAAAAAAAAATATAAAATTAACAAAAAAGTCTATGGCGTAAATTTTTTTGTCAAAAATATTTGGGACGTCACTGGACTTAATAAATGTAATCAAGTTAGAGCTAAATTAGCTCCTTAATACTACAAATAACACTGCCAAATAACAACAAAATTGGGTAAACGATATTTCAGATATTTAAAAAAAAATTTAACACCCTGTATCTTGAAAACGAAGCATTTGCGGACTCATATTTATATGATGTTTTTGGCTTAAAATCACTCAAAGAATCGCCTGTTAAATTTATCCTACATACTTAAGTAACACCCTGTATATTAAACTAAATAATTAAAAAATAATATTTTTTTAATCCGGACATAAATAACGGAGATGAAAAGGTTACGTAAAAACAAAAGAAGGTCGATAATTAGAAAACAATCGGTAAAATGATTTTTTTTAAACAAGTGTTTATCTTGATGAGATCTAAAACCTCTATTACGTTGTCCATTTAGAGTAGAAACACCCTGTATGTTAATAGAATGATCGTTTATTAGATTAATTTCTCAAGCTTTTTAGTTAATTATTACTTAACTTGACAAAAAAGTTTATTAACTAAAAATTAAAGCAGTTCATGATATCTTTTCCTTGTAGCTCAGTGTTATCAGGTTACCATTAAACCTAGTCATGGATGACCTGATAAACACAACAACCACATCAGCGTATTTAAAACAATTGACCCAGTGAATTCTGCCGACTCGGTAAATTTATCGAAAATTCACAATAAATATTCGCTTATACATTTGAAAGCGAAATTTATTCTTGGAAAACGAAATCTCTAATTCCTATTAAATAACTTTCTATCCGGCTGATTTTAGAGAATATCGATGTGCATTTTTTAAATTAATTTGTAATAAATAATTGGGCGACTACCGTTCCTTCGATGTAAGCAAACAATAAACAATTAATATGGAATTATACGTCGTCAGACGTATTACGACTACTTAAATGATAATGTGTTTCAATATAAATTACCCAGCTCTGTCAGAATGGAATAATATTTCGTTTTAATAACTTGGGTAGTCAATTTGTGTTATTTAAGTGTTTTTAAAACACAAATTTATTTTTTTCCAATTTAACAATGGCAGCAAACTCTAGGGATGGTTTTAAGTCTTGACCTAAATATGTAGTCTTATTGAAAAATGCTTGTGTTAGTAAACTTAAAAAATAATAAATGTTAATTATAAATACAAGAAAAATTTGCGATTAAATTATCAATTAACTTAATATTTATTAAATGATAATTGTTATTTTAAATATAGGCTATACAAGGATAATCCTTAGTTTAATATTTTTATAATGAGAATTTAATTCAACAGAAAATATTATTAAATAAAACCTTTTAGAAGAAAAATACATATACAGGGTGTTACTCAAGTAGATATAATAACAGAATTGGGTAACATATATTTAAGTAAAAAAATACTAACACAGTATCCAATTAACAAAAAAATACGCCTCTAAGTTTTTTGTAATTTTTATATATTTTTTTGGATGAAGCAACTAAAAATACAACTACATTTTTAATTAAAAGTTGACAAACAAGTTATTTTAACAGTAATTGAAAACGTTATTTTTACCACATAATAATAACTATTAAAGCGACCAAAAGAATAGCATAATAAAAACAAATGAAATACTACATATTTATGTTAAAAAAACTTAAAATTACTTCATGTCTGTTCTCTTTTTCTACACCTTTAACATTTATATTTTCTTTCTCTCTTTGTCTTTTTATTATTATTATTATTATTATTATTATTATTATTATTATTATTATTATTATTATTATTATTATTTAATTTGATACATATTTTCTTGAATTAAGTAATAAGGCTCGACTTATTTTACTTAAAATGCTGCTAAAATGCTGCATATATTTTATATTGATACTTTTTTTATTGATATTTTTCAGTTACATAACAATCTATCTTGGTTGTAATTTAAACAACATTCCAGTTAGCAGTAAATAAATCAAACGCATTTGCAGTTTTTTTTTATTCTTAGGAACTCTCTTTAATTTATGACTTTTATTTCAATATCAAGTATGATAAACGTTAAAGCACGAGCAGGCTTGCGAGCGAGTGTTTAATTAAATAAGTGAATAGAAAAAATTATAAAAAAGTTGTATACTTTTTCTACGACAAATACTTATTATTATCCAAAAATTATTAAAATTATATGTTATATTCTTGTGAATCTGTATTTTTGAAAAGGAATTTGGGCAAGCAAAAAAAAAATTAAAGGGTAAAAGAATAAAGTTTAATGTTGATAATCATCATCAAATTAAAAAATGACGTAGGAGTTCCTCGGGGTTCGGTTCTGGGTCCTCTTTTGTTTTTAATAAATGATTTACCCAAATTTATTATGTTTAAACTTATAAGTGTTTAAACTGTAAATCCTGAGTAACACTAACAAATTTTTTGATGAGGTTAAACTGAATATATGTATATATATATACTTCTGTGCCCGTTTGAGGTTGAATAATCTTAACAACCTTAATCTCAACATCTTGATTAAGGTAATCAACAAAAATCAAACCTACTTGTTTTTTTGCATTTTAACTAAAATGGTTACCTATATCTCCTAAATTTTTTAATCAATTTTATTAAGGAGTGCTTCATTTTACTATGCATAGATTATGCTTTAACGTCAAATTTAAACATCGGAACTAAAAAACATTAAAAATGACTTTTTCGTGCAAGTTTGCTAAAAAAGAATTTAAATCCTTAATAAATCTTAAATAGCTAATAAACCCCATCTGATTGAAAAATGTTAAATTAATTAATCTGATAGGATAATGTTTAACTAATTAGTGTCAGACCAAAACCCGATTTTCAGGCGAAAACGAAACTTCTGTAGTTATGTTAAAATTTATTTAAATTTTTATTATATCGTGAAATCTAGTGTTTTTACTAAGTACATCTGTACCAGAGTATTTGATTAGATTAAATAAAACTTCAATTTATTAGGAAATCACTTAATTTTTTTAATGCACTGCAGGTACAAAATTATTTAGAAACAAGCCAAAGTTTCGGCCAATTTTTGGCCAAAACCAGCATTTTTAGTTATTTTATCTTTTGACACCTTTTTTAAAAATACAATTTATAAAAAAAATCTACTTACCTACTGAGATATTACACTTCACGGTGGATAGGTTTTTAAATAGCATATTAATGAACTTAAACTTTTGAATTATAAAACAGCAACACTCTCATCTGCATATAAATTCTAACTCACCTTCAGGAATCACATGCATCTATAATGTCGTAAACAGAGGTTTTTGCTTATTTATAATGATTAAAGCGCCATCCGTTGCATACAATTTAAAGCACAACAGATTCACGGAGGATAGAATCAATTTTTGTAACACCTACATAAATAGTTACAAAAATTATTTCTTTTAATTTTTAATAATATTTTATATTTGATTAGATTGCTTTGGTTGTGTTTAATTTACTTAGTGAACTGATATTTTTAGTATGCTTTTACTACCG